GCGACTCGTCTGGCCAACGCGCGTCGGTGATTGTGCCAAGCGTGGCAGGTGTTGTGGCGAGAGTTTATTAAGATGGCCCGACGTTTCCTTCAGGTAAAACTCGGTGTCCGGGAGGTGCTTTGCGGATTCGTGCTCCTTCAGGGGATCTGGCAAGAGTAGGCAGAATAGTGTTTATGTGATTCGCCCTGCGACACCAGAGTTTGGTTCTGGGCCTCATTGTCTTGTGCTTGGGTGGCACCTAGGGGGTCGGTTTGCCTAAATGCACCAAGTCGGCGCCCGGCGCCACCGCTGGTGCGGCCACTTCCTTGGCGCCACTTTGCATTGGTCTCGTGTTCCATGGTGGCGTTGCAGAGTGATGCCAAATCTAATGTGGGTGTTTGAGGGAGGGGGAGGGATTGCACATTTTCGATGGTATCCACATTGTTTGGGGTCTTCGGGGGGCTGCACCCTTTGAGCCGAGCGGCGATCCTACGTGACGTCGCGGGGGCGGCAAACGGTTTTACTGTTCCGTCATGTGCCAAACCTGCGCCTACTGACGCAGGTCACGCCGCCCCCACGCCGTAGCAGCCGGGGCATTGTTCGTTGTCTCGGGAGATGTGGCGTTCGTGGGGTGGTTTGCTCCCCCTTGTTCCCCTCCCTCATTCATCCCTGCCCCACAACCATCTGTGTTTCTGGTCTGGTGCCTGCGTGTCCAAAAAGATTACTTTCTGGCCCCTGTGCACAGTTGACACGCCAACGTCGTGAAGTGTGCTCCTCGGTGGTGGTGGGGTTGGTTTTGTGTTTCGTTGTCGGGGTGTTCGTGGCTGTGATGTGTATGTGCCCAGGTCAATTTTCGCCTCCGACTAGATTCCAGGTCGCACGCGGGTTCATCCTGAAGGCCCGGGAGTCGTACGCGGCTTTCCACACGGAGGCGGAGGCGGAGGCGGAGGCAAGGATGGAACGGACGATGACAAGGAGGACGAGATGTCGGGTCTTGGGCATATGTCGTGGTGAGGGGTTCTTCGAAGACTCGTAATGTCATTTGGGTGCCATCTTGGGGTCCTTCTGGGGCCCTTTTTTTGATTGAAAAGTGTCTTGGAACCCTCTTGGACCTCTTCTGGGGGGTCTGGGAGGCCTTTTGGGGCCGTCCTTCGCTCAAGCAGAGGGGGGTCTTAAATTTAGGTCCCCCCCTTTCGGAGGCCCAAAAGGGGCGTATTGAGGCCATTTTGGACCGCTCTCGGGGCGCTTTGGGGGCCATATTGGGGCTATCTTGGGGCCCTCTTGGGGCCCTCTTCGGGTCCTCTTGGGCCTCTTTTGGGGCTACGCTGGGCCATCTCGAGGCCGTCTTGACACCTCACGAGCCCATCGGAAGTGGAACAACGAAAAGGCAAACCACATTGATTTCCCTTAGGTTTTTAACCCCTTTTGGCCTCTCTGGGGGGTCCTTGGAGGAGGGATCGGAGGGCACTTGAAACCGTCTTGGGGCCGTCTTGGGACCTCTTAGGTGAGTGTCGGAGGCTATCTTGAGCCATCTTGAAGCATCTTGGGCCATATTTGCGGCCTCCTTGGGATCTCTAAAACTTTCTTGGAGCTATCTTGGGCCATTTTGGACGCTCTAACCCCTGCTCCCCCTTCAGACCCAGGGAGGGGGGGGAGGTAAACCTCACGAGCAGGGAAAGGAAGGAGGTAGGAAATGGCAACGCTCCAGGCCACCTGACGGCTGGTGGGATTGCAATACGAAAAGGGGATGTGATAATCCCCGGAGGGGGGGGGGGGGGGGGCTAGAGTCTTGTCTGTTTGTAGAAGAGGAGAATCCACGCCGCGCACTGTGCAAGGCGAATCCTCGGGACACCCCCACAGGCGCCAACGGGCGGCACAGGGCGGGAACGTGACGAATCTTCTGGCCACCCCCTCGTGGCGGCAGCGGGCGGCACTTGGCTGGAACGCGGAGAGGCCTCGGGACACCCATCCAATTTTCGAGGAACGCAGATAAGAACCCTGTAGTTCAAACGCTGCAGGGGGAATATGTCTCTTTCTCTCTCTATATGTAGGTGTATCTATATATATATATATATATATATATTATATATATATATATATCAGAGAAATGCCCCTATCAACCTCTTTCGAGGACTATAGGGCGATGGGGCTATCGGGATATGGGGCTATAGGGCCATAGAATCATAAACCCTTGGGCCGGTAGGGCTATGGGGCCATAGGGCGGTAGGTCTGCAGGGCCATGGGGCTATGAGGCTCTGGGGCTATGGGGCTATGGGGCCATAGGGCTATGAATTTATAGGGCTATGGGGCTATACTGCTATCGGACCATCGGGCTATCGGGCTACGTGGCTATAGGCTATGGGTTATAACCATGTGGAGATATAGGGCTATCAGGCTATAGGACTATAGGGCGATTGGGCTATGTGGCTACAGGGCTGTAGGGCTATTCGGCTATAGGGCTATAGGGCTATAGGGCTGTAGGGTTATACGGCGATAGGGCTATAGGACTATAGGGCTAGAGGGCTAGAGAGCTCTAGGGCGATAGGGTTATAGGGCTATAGGGGTGTAAGGCTATAAGTCTATCGGGCAATAGGGCTGTAGGGTTATTTTGCTATGAGGCTATAGGGCTATGAGGTTATAGGGCTACGGGGCTCTGGGGCTATAGGACTAAACGGCTATAGTGCACCCAGGCACCTGGGCACCGAGACGCCCGGGCACCCAGACACCTGGGCACCGGGGGGCCAGGGCTGGCAGCGGAAAGCGGTGGCAAATCTCACCTAACCGTATGAATCTTCTAGGATCCCTACACAGAGGCAAGCTCTGATAGGTGAATATGTGCGTACTTATCCGTATGGGCTGCGTCCCCTGCCGCCAAAACCTTGCCGATTTTGCTGTTCGCAATGCCTCGTTGCCTGTGGAGGAAAAGAAGACCTAGCAGACTGACAGAAGGTCAAAAGGTACCCAGTCCAAGGAACCCCAAGCGATCCCAAGATTGCCCCACAGGAGCTCAAGATAGCTTCAAGATAGCCCCAAACGAGCTCCTCCCCGGCATCATCGCCACCATGACCTCTACATCGCACTCGTTCGCGACGATGCTCCTCTTCATCCTCCTCCTTCCATCCTCCTCCTCATTATGTTCCTCCTGCTCCTCGTCATCCCTCGCTCTTCGTCATCGTCCTATTCCGCACCAGGACGACCTGAAATGATCCCAGATGAAGTAAAGACGGCAAAAGCGTGGCATGTCATGGCGTTCCGCTCTGACCGTTGATCGAACCGCCGTCCGATTCACATGTTACGGCCTCCTGTCGCCCTTCGAACAGCTGGCTCCGAGAGAACTGGGCCGGCACGGTGCCGGGATAGCCACAGGCAGCTGATTACGTGTAGTACAGTAAACGGTGGCGTATAGTTCCTAGTCCTGGACGCCCTCGCTGGACATGCCCGATGTCGGATCCTGCTGATTTCTCTCCCTGGCGACCATCGGACGCAGCGGGCTCGAGATGGGACCGCGAAGCCTCGCACTTGGCGGAACTCGCTCTCCACGACGCGGGGGCAACGAAAACAGGCAACGATCTGGGGGAATGGGCGTAGAGGGGGATGCAACGATATCCCCAATCACCCACTGATCGCCGATAGGGACCCGATAGCCCCACCCCGCCCGAGACTCAACCAACGAAGAGACAACGGCATCAACACATACACTCTCGACGCTCCGCGCGGGCTTCTGGGTCCCGCGCTGCGCCCCCCTTGCGGCGCTTCGGCGCCGCCCCCGCGGCGCGCTCCGCGCGCGCCAGAGAGGGAGGCCCGGCGCGGATCCAAGACGTCCACGTGTCGGGGGCGGCCAAGAGGGGGGTGTCCAAGAGGGGGGGGTGCAAATCATGACCGGCGGCATGTGCGCCGCCCAGCGGGGGGGGCAGGGACGTGATGAAATAAGAAGAGGCGCCATGAAATCTGCGGAAATATCATGACCCCCGCCGTGATATCCACCCCCCCCTAGTCATCACCTCAAACGTGGAGCGCCAAAAGTTTCTGTCTACGGGGTTTCCTCTTCACTGAAGAAGGCGCGGATTCACGACCGGGAGCCCATCGCCGATCTATCGGCGATGTGTCGCCGCTTCCAGGTCGATGCATCCCCCCCCTGTGCCAGTCCCCCCCCATCGTTGTCCTCAGACTCGCACCCCGCCAGCGTCGGACCGGCTGGACTCGGAGGCCGGCTTCGCGCCCTGTGAGCCTCGCACCCATGGGCGAACTCGGACCGAGGGTTCGGGCGTCAGCGGGGCTCTCGGCTTCGAATGCGAGTGCTGTCGGGTGCGAATTCGGGCGTGTCTGGGCTCGGTCCAGGAACCGAAAATGCGGGCAGTAATGGTTAAGGGCGATCCGTCCTCAAGAGCTTTCCGAGTCTCGCTAGAGCTCCTGAGCTCGTTTCGTGCTGATCCAGGGGGCAGGAAGCCCAACCGGGACCCGAATCCCGTCTGGGTTTCGGCCCGTTTCGGCCTCAATTTTCTCAGAGCACTTCTGGCTGAGACCTGTCTTGCTTGAACACATCGGGATTATGTTCTAAGAACACTGCTTTTGTTCTTAGCATTTTGGGGTTCTAAGAAGACTTCGTGGTGGGCCTACAAAAAATGCCCGGACGGTCGGACCCTGCTCAACCAGAGGTTCCCCCCCTTCGAATCCTGCCGGAGCGCGCCGAAGCCGAAGCAGGCGGAGCCGAAACGGGCCGAGAGCCGAGACGCGCCGAAGCCGAAGCGAGCTTGGAGCCGAGTCGGGCCCCTGTCCCTGGGGGACAGGGAGGGCGACGTCGGTACCGAACTCCACGCCACAGGCTCGCAGCTCACACCCTTCTGCTCCTCCCTCCTCACTCCCTGCTCCTCCCCCTCCTCCTCCTCCCCCTCCCCCTCCTCCTCCTCCTCCTCCTCCTCCTCCTCCTCCTCCTCCTCCTCCTCCTCCTTATCCTCCTCCTCCTCCTCCTCCTCCTCCTCCTCCTCCTCCTCCATGTCCCCTCCACCTCGGCCCCTCGCGAGGAGGCCTGGGCAGCCTACGAGAACCCGTGGCCCTACGACGTCAGCCGCGGCAAGATCGCGAAGAAGCTCGCCCCCTTCACCGGGAAGGCGCGGCCCTCCCTTCCGGCACCCTCGGGCTCCTGCCTCGGGGCCGATGGCCAGCTCTTCGGCATCGCTCGGACGTGTGCATCGTTCCACGGTGGCAAATCGTGGGAGCCTGGTATAACCTGAAGTCGGGCATGTCGCTCTACAGGAGGGACATTCGAACATAATGGTTTCAAAAATAGTCTGGGGACGAATTTCCAATATTGTTTGACTACCATGGCATAGTTTTGACTATTTTCAAGTTTTGGTCAGAATCCGCCTCTATGGGGGACATGTCCGACCTAAGTATACCCTTTCATTCAGTCTTTAGCATCGATTAGCGTCGAGTTAGCCGCTAATCGACGCGAGTCGATTCACGAGATTTTCCAAGGATTCTGCTCAAATATTTGTTGCCTTTTTTGGGGGGGGGAAGCTTACCCAGGTTTGGGCTTAGAGATGTTTGAAGTTCTTCGGGGGGGTTGAGATTTTCGCAGGTTGTGGTTTCGAGATTGTTGATGATTTTTAGAGTTTGAGTTTCTTCGCGCGATATGGCGGTGGACCGCCTGTAGTCGCTCTTGCCGGACCCAAATTCTTTACGCTTCGCGTATCCCCACCAGCCCATCTCACAACAGCAACTCTTGCGAAGCATGCCGACAGTCGTGTTTTTCAGGCGTGTGTCCGCTTGGCCCCGCATATCTCCCCTGTTCCTCCTTCCTCCCGCCTCCTTGTACATCCTCCTTGTGGGGGGAGCGGGAGAAGGACGAGGCGGAGGAGGAGGGAGAGAAAGCGCTCCTCGTGGTTTGAGTCGTTTGGGGTTTCTCGTCCTGGTGTGAGTCGTTCGGGCCCTTCTTCCTGGTGTGAGTCGTTCGGGCTCTTCGTGGTGTGAGTCGTTCGGGCTCTTCGTCCTGGTGTGAGTCGTTCGGGCTTCTCGTGGTGTGAGTTGTTCGGGCCCCTCGTCCTGGTGTGAGTCGTTCGGGCCCCTCCTCCTGGTGTGACTCGTTCGGGCTCCTCGTGGTGTGAGTCGTTCGGGGCCCTCGTCGTGGTGTGAGTCGTTCGGGCTCCTCGTGGTGTGAGTCGTTCGGGCGCCTCGTCCTGGTGTGAGTCGTTCGGGCCCCTCCTTCTGGTGTGAGTCGTTCGGGCTCTTCGTGGTGTGAGTCGTTCGGGCCCCTCGTCCTGGTGTGAGTCGTTCGGGCTCCTCGTGGCGTGAGGCGTTCGGGCACCTCGTCCCCTTTTGGGGCGTCTTGGGGGCCTCTTGGCGGCCCCAGGGGCTTCTAGGAGCGTCTTGGGTGCCTTGGGGGAGCCTCTTCGGGCCTCTTGGGAGCCTCTTGGAGGCCGTTTGGGGCGTCTTGGGGGCCTCTTGGTGGCCCCAGGGGCTTCCAGGAGCGTCTTGGGTGCCTCGGGGGAGCCTCTTGGGGCCTCTTGGGGGCCTCTTGGGGGCATCTTGGGGGCCTCTTGGAGGCCTCTTGGGGGGGCCTCTTGGGGCCATCTTGGGGGGGCCTCTTGGGGCCATCTTGGGGCCTCTTGGTGCCTCCTGGGCGCTTCTTGGGGCCATCTTGGAAGAAATCCATCAAAGAAGAGGGAAGCTTCAATTAGCACTGCCCCCTCAGAAGGCCAAAATGGGGCCAAAACCTTAGTACAATCAATGATTTTGGCTTGAAAGAAGAGGGGAGCTTTAATTAGCGCTGCCCCCTCAGAAGGCCAAAATGGGGCCAACACCGTAGTAAAATCAATGATTTTGGCTTCAAAGAAGGGGCGAGCATTTTTTCTGACTCCCCCCGTCGGGGCCAGAATCCTCGTGAGGGGTGTCGTTTTTTAGCCCTCCCAGGAGTCGAAAATGACCCCTCTGACGACCCGCGGAGGGACCTCTCCAGGCCCAGGGGGAGGGGGTAGGGGGAGGGGTAAACCCCTCCCCGAAGGGGAAGAAGGGGGGTTGAGAACAGAGAGAGCTCTCTAAACCACTCACGCCCAAAGGGCTGGTGGGATTAGCGTCTGGCAGAAGATGAGATAGCGCTGATTTAGCGTATGCTAGCGTCGATGCTGCGTCGATTTAGCGTCGACTGGCGTCGATTCGCAAGAAGCCTCGGGCCTCTACCATGCAGCGGAGTCTCGAGAGGGAACCTGTCTTGAGAACGCGAGTGTCCGTCGTACTCCGCTTCGCTGTCTCCCCCCCCCCCTCTCGTCCTCGTCCGCCCTCTCCCCCCCGTGAAAGGCCTCATCCCAGATCATTCGGCCTAGGAGCCCCATCTAGGCCACCTAGAGATCTAAAGATCTAGGTGGCCTGAATGCGCATCCAATCAACGTCGAAGGGTAGGCTCGAAGCAAACTAAACTACATACCCTCGTGCTCAATATCAGCTTTCTCGATCCCGAAAGACCCTAGGGGCAAAGCTCATGTTTGTGTTTGTCTTGTTCTGGGCAAGATCATTGGGTCTTCCCTGTGATAAGTTTGTGGTTCCACCGGCTTCGTGGATTAATCGTAATGGCCGCATGTCGGGTCTCGAGAAACATTTAGCTGCACAGAAGCACCAAAAAGGCTCTTGCCCACTACCAGGTTTCTGGCACTCAAAAAGCTTTAGTGGGCAAGAGATGTTTTTCGGTTGTTTTGGGGGTCGCCGGGACCGCCACAAGAACATTCCAACGTATGAAGATCTGGGTGCTTACCTTTATGGCATACTGGGGTACGCATCCGAGCTTCACCACTGACCACGGGCATTGTGCAAAACTTCTGGTAATAACAATGAGAAGTACGACATTCCCGATGCATGGTTTCATTTTCTTTCGCAGCCCCAGTCGTACAACCTCCTGACTGTACTAAGATAGTAAATGATACCTGCGGTGGCCGTGCAAAATGCTAGCGGCCGAGCAGAGTGGTCATAAATCACCGTGCTCTCCTTATCACGCCCAGTCTTACTGTCTCCCGACTGAACAGTGCAGTCACAGAGGCGTGCGGCGGCGATGCCTAATAGCGGCGCAAGAGCAGGGCAATCTTACGGCGCTTCGTGCCTCGAAGCGCAAGATTCAGGGAACTGCGCCTCAGGCCTGGATCCCCGCGACCTCCTCGACCACGGCGTGTACGGTGGAGGGTGCGGACTTCCTCGTCGACGTCGCCCTCTTCCTGTGCCCCCACGGCTTCTTCTTTGCAGGCATAGCCTTGCTCCACGCGGCTGCCCTCTTGTTCTTTCCCTCTTTCTGTTTCGCGGCCAAGCCGACGTCCACCTTGACGAGGGACTTCCTGAGTGCGCCGCGGTTGGGCCCATTTCCGTTGGGCACAGAACCGCTCGGGCCATCCTCTCCGATAGGCAGCGATCCGTCTGGCCCGATGCCGTCCCTGAGACCGCCAGCAGCGATCTGGCCGGCCAACATCTCTGCGAGCCGCAAGGGCGGAAGCCGCGTGCCGAGCGACTCGTGCTGGGCGGCATGGACGAGCATGCGGTAGAGGGCGTAGACCTCCTTGAGCACGTGGACGCGGTCTTCGTGCTGCTGCCACACGCACCACGCCCAGCGCTTCATGTTCCTTTGCTCGGCCTCGTTCTGGGGCGTGCCCTGGACGACCAATTGCCCGCGAGAGAGCTGGGCGAACACCGAATTGTTGCGCAAGTAGTAGTAGTTCTTCGTGGAGCTCGCGCTCTCCAAAACTTTTCGGAGCGGCACGCCTTTGGAATTCTTCCTGTCCATGATCTTCTCGTGCTTCTGGACTATGCGCCTCAACTCGGCCACGTACTCCGCGTGCGAGACGAAAGGCTCGTTGCAGAAATCCGCCCAGTCCTTGTCGGCACGCTCGCGCGCGGGCTGCGCGTCACCCCAGACCACCTCGGGCATCGGGAGGCCATGGTAGATCTCCCTCGTCAAGTACTCCTCGGGCACGCCGAGAGGACGGGACAACTTCCTCGTGAGCTGCAGCAACTCAAATGAGCAAGCCGTCCTCTTCCCGTCCGTGCACTGCTCGGCCCGCAAGGCAATGTGCAGTCTGTCCTGTGCCACGCCGAGACACCTCGGCAGATGCTCCAACATCTTCTCGCTCGGGGCGTCGGAGTAAAGCATCCGCACCTGCTCGACCGCAGCGGGGGTCAGCCGCTCCCTGACCGCTGCACCGAAGCTCTCCGTGCTCTCATCGGGCTGGACGCTGAATCCAGGGCAAGCTCCTGTCATCCCCATCAGAGTGTGGCCGACGTAGATCCCGCCTTTCTTCTGGTCCATTTTCTTCTGGCCGATGACCGAGAACAAGAACTTGAAGGTGCCATCGTGGGTCAGTGCCGTGAACTCGCCGCGGGCCACTTCCTCGCCCATGAGCCGTCGCACCGACAGCTGCGCCAGGCCGTCGGGGCGGCGGAACACGTGGTCCATGATCTCCCGCAAGAGCTGGGGGCGGCAGGCCAGGAAAGGCGACGTGCTTTCGCGGGACCACTGCCTGTGGAGATGGCCCATCACGCCATTCATCGCCCCGTGCGAGACCAAGGCCAGGCTGATCAGGGAATCCTCGAAGCCTTTGGTGTACGAGATCTTGGCGTTAATGCGGACGCAGTCAATGCACTTGGCGCGCAACCAGTACCGCGGGCCCGCCTCTGTGAAGACGAAGACGAGGTGGGCTTCGTTGGAGTGGCGCGCAGCCTCCAGCGCTTCCGCTGGAGCGTCGCGATTCCATTCTCGAAGCAGACCGGCAGCGCGGGCCAGGTAGCCGCCGTCTTTCTGAGCCGCGCGGTTCAACACCGAGCAGACGCGGTCGAACCTGCACAGCGACATAGCGACCTTGAAGAGGGCATCGTCCTCCCGAGACGCGACGAACTTCGGCGGCCTGTGGTGCTTCTGGTGCTCGATGAGGTGCTCGCGGCGGCTGAACGATCGCCAAGGGCACAGGAAACAGCGGCATTGAACGCGGGATCGACATCCACCGACCTCGACCTGGTAGTCCGCGGCCTCCTTTCCAAGCACGTTGCAGAACATCTCCATGAATGAGGGCTCGTCGGGTTCGTCGGCGTCCTCCTCGCAGTCGGACGGCAACCCCACGTCGACTCCGCCTGGTTCTGC